CGGGCCGAGGGCGGTTGGGCAGCGTGAGGCGGGACCAGCGTCCGCCATTTCTTGCCATGGGCTGGCGGAGCCGGGCTCGGCATCGGGCCGGTCTAGTGCAGTGGTTTTCATGACTTGTTAAAACGACTTTGATGACTTTTATAGTGGCTGAAGCGTTGCACGTTGAGCTAACAAACCCTTCCCGTTCTCTCCCAGGTACTGAGACGGGGAAAGCAAATTTTCATCAGCCAAGTTTTCGGTAGCGCTGTCGGTTGTGTGTCGAGCAGCACGGACTGAGAAGCGAAATGACCTCAAAGAGGAAAACAAAGAGAAATTCTAGAAATACATTAAAGGTAAGTTTTGCTAGGCTGAGCGGAAGTAAGACAGCAGGTGCTTTTTGTGGTTTTTGCTGTGCTTTTGGGACAGCGGCTCTGGAGGTGGGCGCAGTGCTGTTAGCGTGGGCCTTCGCTGGGATCTGGGGTTTGGGGTGCTGGGTTTGATTTTCTTCCTTTAGGAGTGGTTTGTCATCCAGCAAAACGGGCCATTGGCTTTCATACAGGCAAAAGCTTGAAAAGACTTGTAAAATTACAGAGAACATCTCATAGGGGAAATATTTGATGTGCCTGTACTCTAACAAAGCTTGTGAGGCGCTGCTAAGAGCTAGTAAAATTAAAAGTGTCAGTATTTTCTGGTTGTAATTCCCTCTGTATGCACGCACAAATTAACGAGGAAATTAACTCTCGCGTTTGCAGTGTGAAGGACCATTTACAAATATTAAACTGTCTCCTATGAAGACAGACTGAGAGAGTTGGGGTTGTTCAGTCTGCAGAAAAGAAGGCTCCGAGGAGACCTTATTGTGGCCTTCCAGTATCTTAAGGGGGCCTACAAGAAAGCTAGTGATGAGGGGCTTTTTAGGATGTCAGATAGTGATAGGACTAGGGGGAATGGATTAAAGCCAGAGATGGATCAGTTTAGATTGAACGTTAGGAAGTTCTTCCCCATGAGGGTGGTGAGACACTGGCACAGGTTGCCCAGAGAGGGGGTGGAAGCCCCATCCCTGGAAGTTTTTAAGGCCAGGCTGGATGGGGCTCTGAGCAGCCTGATCTAGTGGGGGATGTCCCTGCCCATGGCAGAGGGGTTGGAACTAGGTGATCCTTAAGGTCCCTTCCAACCTTGTCAATTCTACGATTCTAAGTTCTCCTCTCCCCTTCTGCTTTACAGAAATGTCTGTGTAATACTTGATATAAAAATTCTACTGTTTAGAAGAAGTTACACTAAGCTTTTAAACTTTTTGAAGTGAAAGTGATTAAATTGGACAAAGATAGAAATCTATGTAATATAGAAATAAAAGAAGAAATATTTCAATGTCTGATAGGAAAAAAGGCCACATATGATACAAGCTAGCTATTAGACTGTTACAAGATTTCCAAGTTTATGTGTTTAATTTTATAAAATAAGGCTTGCACTGCAGTATAGTATCAAATAGCTGCATATATCAGTTTTATACTATTGCTTCTCTTAGGGAAATTAAAACATAGCCTGAGGAGGAAACACTTGCTTCAAATACTTTATATTGTAGCTCAGCATGATTCCGGTTAAATGTATTTCTAGTCAACCATTCTTGAAATTCATTGTCATATTTCATCTGTTTTACACTTAAACAGATGGATGAACTTTCTATTAATTTCATACCCATCCAGGAACATGAAGCCAACTCCCGTCGTCGTAAATTATTTTCACTTGAGGAGCCAGATGTCTCAAGGATATTGAAGGTAGCAGAAGGAAATCAACTTGAGGAGCCTGACGATTCATTTGGTTAGCATTACCTTGAATGTCGTGTAATGTATGATTTTCATGAGCGAACCATATGGGCAAAATATTTCAATGCTTACCTAGGAAGAGGTAGTGTTTCCTTGCCAGAAAAAGTTACGGGCAGGAGAGAGAGAGGTTTTTTTGAGAGCAACGTTCTGTCATTTTGGAAGTAACAGGAATAGGGCTGTAATATATGCACATAAAAGTAATCAGAAAAATACTGGCTATTCAAGTTTTATAGTCTGAACAGTAGATTTTCACACAACAGAACAATGCAATTATATAAGAATTTACATTTAAAATGGAAATTTAATAGGTGAAGTTTTTCTTTATTAAATTACACAAATTCTGAAGTGACACTTCTGTTATTATAACAGTATTTGTGGCAGCTGACTTAGACATTGACAGGGATGTTGTTCTGCTTCCAAATGTTACTTAAAAAGTCCACATTGTAAAAACACGCTGGTTTTGGTGAAGCATTGAAACTACTTTCGTGCTCTGTATGGGACTTGTTCAATGAAGCCTCGTTGTACTGGAAGAGAATCAACTGAGATGGAATAGGTGCCTCTGTGCAAAGTCCTGTATCGTTAAATATATAGATAGCTCTTATATGAAAGTGCCAGTAGAAAAAATATTTGAAAAACTGTAATTATAAGGTGTAGAGTTGTTCCTCAGCTGTAATAGTTATTACTCTAAGAAAACTATGGAAATATATGTAACTAGTAGAAAGAGCATTGAAGATGAGCTATGAAGAACAACGTAGCAAAAGGATTGTAGTAAGGGAAAGGCTGGAAGATGAAAAGCTGCTTTTTCCCTCGCTTCTGTAGTATGCATCAAAGCTATAAAAAGGATGCCCAGTAATGCTAATGTAAACTAACACTAAATTTTTGTGGCAGTGTGCTTGAAAAGAGAAATCTATTCTGTGGAAGCCACAGTAAAACCTTAAAGTTCTGAGAGTTCTCTTTTTGTAGCTACCATCAAGAATTCTGCATTTACAAACATTGCTTAGCAGCTGTAACTCCCCTCTCCTAGCAGCCGCTAAAGCAGTAAAAATCCTTATTTAAAAAACAGGTAAAATTTAGTAGCTAGTAGTTTAAATATATAGTAAATTGATATATGACATAACAAAGAGAGACTTTAACACAAAATGTTTTGCTTGCTGTATGCCATATGTACGTGCTGAGCTTTCCTGTGCTGTTGGTTTCATTCTGTAAAGAAACAGCAGGTAGATGAGTACAGAAACTATGAAGCTTTTCACTATAAATATATATTCTTATCATCAAATAATACTTCTAACAAGACTTCCGTTGTATTAGTGAGAAAACAACATACATTGTGAGTGCTTAATGTCAGGTATCGCTAGCATGTCCATGCTCTTTGCCTCAACAGATGGGAACAATTTTCATACAGTTTATTTTCTGGTCTTTATAGATCACCCTTTGCACAGTACTGCTGTGGATGCTTATGGAGAGGAACATTCACAAAACGAGTCACCTGGTCATGTTTCAGCACTGCAAAGAAAAAATACCGGAAGAAGGTTTGATGAAGAAAACAATTGCTAGCATTTCATTTTATCTTTAGATTTTTAGATAAAAGGGGGAATATGCTCTGTTTGTCAGGTTTCCCTAGATGCTTATTAAACAGATGCTTTAACCTGAAATTTCCCAGATGAGAAACCAGAAGAGTAAGTAAGGTTGAGGAATGTAGAAAAGAGCAGAATAAATTAGTCTGCCTTCTGTAAACAGTACATTGATTTAAGTATCTTCTGTATTTTTTTTTTTATATGAAAGGATTTTAAAATACCTCTCTGAGGTATTAATCAGTTCTTTAAATGCTAATGTCTAAAGTGAAAACGTGGAAAAATTGAAAAACACATAGAAACCAGTTAAATTATAAGTACCAAAGAAAAATATTCTAAAAATATTTTAATGCAAATTTTAGTATTTTTTTAAATTAAATTTGGTTTAAATCTGAAGTAGTTCTTATTTAAATGAAATAGCAATACAATAATAGTGCTTGTGCAAAAATGTATTTTTGGTGTGTTTCCTTATTTCCACCTCCCACCACGAAATCCTTCTCCATTCTTGCTAAAATCTCCTCATTATGATGATTTTGTCTCTATTTCGAAGTTTCTGCTCAATACAACATGGCTATTCCAGTGGTTGGTCAGTAAGACCAAATTGTAAGGGTTACTAAATTGCAAGGGTTGCTGTTGAGGGAGAAAGGTTCTGTTCCCATTGTAGGCCATTTGCAATTTTTTGTCTAATCAATACTAAATGTTCCCCAAAATACAAGATCTTATTGCATATATGGTTGAAGATCATTCTTTCTCAGTGTGTGATGGGTTTACATGAGGATTTTTTTTTTTCCTAGTAAAAAAATGCATCTCGCAAAAACGTCTGCTGGTGATATTGAGAAATCCAACACAGCTGCTTCTGGAGATGAACACCTTAAGGAGAATATGGTACAGAAAAAGTTGCATGAATATTATCAGTCAGTTTAATTTTAACTTCATGCCACGCCTGCATTGGAGAGGGAGGAATTTCTTGGTATTGCCTTAGTACTTAATTTTATCTGAAATAGTTAATCCACACAGTATTCCTGTAGATGGCCAAGTGAAATGCTTAAAATGACAGTTATCTTGTCAGTGGGGAATGTAAGTGCCAGGTGTTCCTGGATCCTGTAGCCCATTCTCTTGCTCATTTCTGAATATTTTTGTTTCTTCTTTCAAATATCTTCTTCGTATCTGGAATAAATGTTCATAAAGAATGACATACTAAATGGAATATAAGTCCTTTGTGCTTGTTCAGTATTGAAGGAAGACATGAGAGAATTGATTATTTTTTTTTGATAAAATTGATTTTGAATATATATTAAATTAAACAAGATACACTCAGTTTTTAGCAAAGGTTTTTCCACACCGAGACAACAGTTACTGTAAAATGGTTTTGGCCCGCTTAGTTTCCAGGCATACAGAGGGAGTTACCTGTCTGCAGACTTGGGAAAGTAAGCCTATGGTAAAAACTACTATGCTGTAGTTCGCGTACAAATTTTCTGTGCATTGAAATTTACTAGGTTTGTTGAAAATGTGTTGTAAAATTCAATGCAGATGTAAGTCTTTCATCAGTAAGCTGCATGTATGTACTGCTCCTGTCGAAATCCTGTTGTTGTCACAAGTTAGTTGAAGTAGAGAAGGAACTGGGACAGAAGGTGGGTGAGAAGGAGGGTGAGCAGGTGCTGTGGATCATCTCTGGGTGATGGCTCTGCTGAGCCGAAGGTCCCTGTGCTCCTTAAGATGTTCCTGCTCCTGCTGCACAGCCAGGGGCTGGCCTGGTCAGTGCGGTCGGGCAGCTGCTGTCCCGCAGAAGTGCGATTGCTGTGCTGCTATTAAACAGGTCAAAGTAAACGTTACTGACGTATCAGTCAGGAAATGCTTTCCTACATTCTGCCTAACTGCTGTCTCTTGGGTTTCTGAATGAGTAAACCTAGAGGTTTTTTTGGAAGTTGATCTGCTTTTTGTATCACAGAAGGCTCTGAATACCAAGTCCAAGGTGAAAAGGAAGCGACCTTCAGAGGAGAACATATCAGAATCTTCTGGTAAAGTAGGCTTTTCAACACTCCATGTAGCTATTCCTCATTCAAGAGGAGTCTTTTTCCATGACTCAGTGGTTTTGATTTCTGATATGTAGCATCGCACTTCTTCTAGAAATGGGAGGGTTTAGTTTCACTTTTGGTGTAGACAGTCATTAGCAACAGCTAAATTGGCGAGTGTGCCACGCAGCTCTGATCCCTGTGGTTTGCACCCATGAGGGAGTAAAGCATGAGTGTGCATTATTACTTGCACACAGCTGCCCTCTCTGCAGATGGAAGCCTGGGTCCACGGGTATGGAGCTGGGAGACACCTGAGTACCTCCCTTGGTCCAGAAGCCTGGAGCATCCCTGACTTCCAGTGTAGGCACAGCTGCTCGTGTAGAGACCTTTGAGATGGGGGCTCCAAGGCAGTAGAAAGAAACTTTTTCAGGTGTCTTCTTGCTTTCTTTGCCTTCTGTAACTTTCAAGTATTAGATTTACATTTGGAAGTATGTGAAGAAACTTAGTTTAACTTTTTCTGGAAGTAATTAATAATCCTGTTGCAAAGTTTAAAGAAACATATTTGTGTGTAGTTTTTTTGAAGCATATACAGTATTAATACAAAGTATATACATCTCATGGCTCTTTGAGTAATGCAGATTGCCCAAACTCAGCACAAACAGCTCTGTCTACAGTACACTGTGCAGTTTCTGTGCTCCTAGACTTGCTGGAAATGATGAATAATAACAGATAAGTTGTATATGATTGATCATCCAAATTCTAATGTGTTCCCAGATAAATCTAGTGTGGTTGCTCAGCCAAAGACAGATGAAATAATGTATCTCTCTTCTTAAGATTCATATTAAAATATTCCTAACTTTTAGAAGGCTATTTCAATGGTGGGCACAATAATTTTTCTATTATTTTAGAATATGTACCTGAATTGTTTATTCTGTTGTTTCAGTGGATAGCCCATGTTCTGTCCAGATTTGGTGTCCCAAAGAGCTGAAGAGATCTCCTAGAGATATTACAGAACTGGATGTTGTTCTAGCTGAATTTGAGAAGATAGCAGCAGATTACAGGTAAATATTCTGCTTTACTATGGCTGAACATTCAAAGTTTTAAAGACAAATTACCTAGAGTTTTGCTAATGGGCTGTCCTTTAGGGAACACAGTATTGCATAGTTACATTCTGATGTTATTTTAATGGTTATTAGGTTTCTGTGATACAAATAATTTTTTACATGAGATCCTGAGGTGTTCTCTAGGGATTTGATATTTTTTCAAACATAGAAACACATATCAGCTGATGATCTGCAATGTAGAAATTAATCTGTTACTAGCACTTGAAAGATCTGCAACTGCCTCTGCTACTAGCTGCTTAATATTGGGTTTTATTCCTTACTTGGAGGACTGTTTTAGCATGAAATTCTCTTCTACTAAACCAAATGAGTTGTGTTTTGTCCCCCCGACTTGTCCAGACAAAGCATAGATTCAGACGTTTGCAGAAAAGCTATCAGTGGCTTCTGTTCTGCTTTCAAGGAACAAATCACCGATCTTGTAAGTACACCATAACCAAAATCAGTTTTGTGATAGTGATTATAGAGCTGTGTATTACATAGTAGTCAAAATACCTGTAGATTTATATTGTCCTTTACGTAATTATTTTATGATACTTCAAATTGTATAATCTCGTGTCAGGATAAATAATATGAAAACACAGTTTGTGTGTATGATTTGCGGCTTCTGTGCTGGTTTTCATAAGAATTTCCTTTAGACACAACAGTGCTGTCATGCAAGGATGTTCCAGAATTGTCAGCTTTTGAGAACAGGGAAGCATCTAATAATCCTGAAGTGTTTGTCCGATAGAGCATTATGAAATAGTACTGCAGAGCTCTGTAATTGGAATGAGCGAACAGTTGTGTCAAACACCGTTTTAAAAGCTCATGGACTGGAGTTTTAAATGTTTGATCTAATCTTTACCTCGCATCTTAGTGGCTCTTATTAAGGCCTCTAACATAGTTCAGGGAAAATCACCCCGTTAACATATTGAACCTAACTGTAAAAAGTTTATTAGCTTGGAAGACTTAAGGTTTCTTTGCACTAATTATAACAAAATAGACTCAAAACGTTGTAGGAGTTGTGGTAAGTATAATGGTTAAGTACTAAAGCTATGGTTCTAAGTAATTCATTAGTATGAGCAAGTTTTAAAATTTACACATTTTATATAAAAATATAGAAAAATTAAGGTAAGTAGTATTATTGGTAGGTGGAGTATTACTTGCACTAACTGGGGCAACAATGTTGCTGTGGCATGAGGAGAGATGAAAGAATTGATGCAAAACTGATACACTGTAATTTTAAATAGCTCATAATGTTATTCAAAACCAGTGCATGCAACAAAGTTTTTTTGTGTGGATAAAGATGAAATCAAGATCCATAGTCAATCTGTAATTCTTCTTTTCCTCTGTAGATAGTTGAAGTCCAGAAATTAAAGAATATGAAGAAAAAAAATGCTAAGGTAAATACATACATATCGCTGGATTATGCAGCGATATGGACGTGGGCATCACCTTCCATCAAGAAGTTGATTGGAAGAAACAAAATAATTCACAAAAAGTGTGCTGCGCTTACAGAGTCAACTGCACAAATAGAATATATTGAACCACTAGAAGTTTTTTGGAAAAGATCTCAGTAAATACAATGGATCACAAACTCCTTACGTGTACTGCTATACTGGTGTAAAAAGAAGGAATGCACATGAGGATGTATAGGTATCTATGCATGTGAATTACTCTCTTTTTTAATAAGTACTGGTGAGGCCTCTGGAGTGCCAATTAAATATTCAGAGCTAACCCTCAGGAAACGTAGATGAATAGAAAAATCTAGGAGAGCAGCAAAGATAGCGAAGTGCGAGAATAGAATTGGATTGCTTGGTTTAAAGGAGAGAAGTCCAAGAGAGTTGCATTCCCTAAATACATGCAGAATTTTGGTTCAGAGGAAGGAAGTTCTTCTGTTCATTCAGAGCAAGTAGTAATTGACTGAACATGCACTGGGAGTATTGACAGGAGACGGAACTAGTGTAAGAACAGAGAAACATTGCGATGGGTTCATCAGGAGAGAGGTGAATACCTCATAGCAGAGAGATTTAACAGCAGGCTAAGGCACTGTCTGCCAGAGGTTTTCTGTGCCCAGATTAACATCTTCCACAAACCTTTTGATTACACACCAGCTTTTAACAAGTCAATAGAAAGCTTATTCTGGGGGATAGCGATTAATGCACTAAAGCCTTGTTAATTTGAGGTGATACAGTAAGTTACTCTGCATGTAAAACATTTTAATACACACCTAGAATTCACAGCCACTCAGAGTTCTCCTTATTTTGCCTCTTATACATTTGTTTAAAATCAGATTTGTAGTTGCTAAATTTAAATTTATTAATAGTTTTGTGGGGTTTTTTTAAACGAATATATTAAAGTTAATTGTGCTTAGTTCCTTAGTTACAGCAATCATGCTGAGCATACATTTCTACTAGTCTTCATTTTTAAAAAGGAAACAAAAACCTACTAGGATTGGTCATGTTTGAGTTCAAACTGTCACAAACTCCTTTTGTGTGCTTGTAAATCTAGTGTTCCTTAGAGAAATTCTGGATGGAGATGAGAGCTTGACATTTTAAAAAGCTTTAAAGTCTTTACAATACAAATGGAAAATATGGCAGTTTATAAGGTCTGCTATCTTGGAATCTTCCACACCCAGAATCAGAAGCATAAAACCTCAAATAAAAAAAAATTTAAAAAGCCAATAAAATTTGAGTTGTTTTGCCTTTGAAGTTACAGAAACTGTTTCAAAGACTTTCCTTACTGTTTGTTTCAGGTAATGACAGACATCAAAAAGAAAAGGCAGCGACTGTTGGAAATCAGAGAAGAGATAATGGGGTAAGTTTCTAATGATGCACAATAATAGCCTGAAGAACTTCAGAGTCTGGTATTTTATAACTCAGAAGTGCAAATAACTTCTGTTCTTTCATTTTATTTTGCTAAAACGACATCAGTTCTGTATTGCTTTCTTTTTTATCAAAAGCTCAGGATAACCTCTCCTTTCCTTATTTCAGTTGCCTAGGTAGCCATTCTTGCAAGTTCCCTTAGCTAACTAGTTACTGGGATGGTATTTCAGACTGTACGTTTTTAAGAAAAACTCTAACATCACAGCTGGAATTGCAAAGGTGATGAATCAGAAATTTACAAAGGTAACACAGAGAGAGGTTTTGATTTTGAGGTGGGAGACTGTATTTCTCTCTGCAGTTTGGCAGGGATGCCTTTGAGTGCATGGCTTGCTTCCATCTCATAGGGCCACACAGTTCCCCTTCCCTAACTTGGTATTGATCCCAAGTATCATTTAGACACGCAACACAGAGAATTGTGTTCTTTGGAAGAACCATTAGACTTCCCCAAATCCAGCTGGTTGCTAGTGACAAGCTCCATACTGAAGCTGCATATAACATACATGCTTTGAGATAACACTGTGGGGAACCATGGGCTTGGATTCACAAACACAAATGAAAAGCCCTTTCTCTGTGCCCATGGGAGTCTTGTTCCCTTTGCAGTACTATGGACAGCCTTGACTCAAAGAATTAATTAAAGGCATCCCTCAATATGGGTTTGAACCTCCTCCCAGACTGACAGCTGTTTTCACATTTATTTGTAGTGTTTTTATCTTCTGATCATCTTAAAGCTTTTTTGCTTTGCAACACTGTTAGATGAAAATAGCTGTTGGTGTTCAGTTTTCGGTGTGCTAGTTTAATGGATGGAGCCTTCCCGTTTACTTTGGCAAAGGCACGTGCAATTTGTAGATCCTGAGCCTGCTTCAGCGTAAGCACTGAGCCACCTCAGCCTGCCAGCAGGTGTGTACAGAAGCACAACGCCAAACTCAAGAAACTTCTCTTGAAAAACTTAGGTGCTTAAGACAGAGGTGGCTCTATTGTCAGACTCAAAAGAGAGATGTGCAAAACGGTTGGGGGTTTTTGTGTGTATGGACTTGGACACATGCTCCTATTTAAATAATACACTAAGTTGTACTAATTAAACTGTATGTTCCACTAACCTGTGTTTCATATTTCTGACCAACCTTTCCAATAAGTCGTCTTCAGAGGAAATATATTTATAGTAACTCATTAAATAAATATGCAGATATAGTCATCAAAGCTTTGATCTTTTCCAGAGCTGAACCACAACTGATAAAACTACAAAGAGAATATGCAGAGTTGCTGGAAAGGAAATCTTCCTTGAGGCAAGCAACTGAATTACTTACTGATTTAAAGGAGCTACAGCAAGACTGTTTGGATTACAGAGAAGGAAACCCGAAAGAAAAAGTAGTAGTAAGTACATATTTTGTGTGTGTGTTTCTGAACTGTTCTGGCTCAGCCCCTCAATCCTTTTTTGTCTTTCTGGGGCTGATGGGCATTTCAGTTAATGTTTAACTTATGTAGCAATATTTTGACAATTGTCTTTGTGGAAGCAACTTGAGAATTACTGCTGTAACTGTACTGTACTGTCTCATTTTCTGGGTCTCATGTTAGAAACTAAATTATTTCAGAGAGGATCCTGCTACCTTGCTGTCTATGTTCAAGAATTCAAAGAACATAGAAAAATTAACAGTTGTCCTCCAGTCTAATACTTTTTTTAGAAGCTGAAAAAATAATTAACAGTGAGAAACAAGTAATCAATTTCTTTTGTTGTTGTCGTTCAAAGGTATGGAAAGCTCTGGTGCTTACATGTCTATTCCATAAGTTATTTAGTGCTAAGAACACTGCGTGTGTTTCATGACCAGAGTAACTTCTTGTGTGGTCTTATACCTCCTTCCTCTTTTACTGTGGGGCTCAGGGCCTGGTGCAGTATTTTCCTGCTGACAGTGCTACGTGCCTGCCGCATGTAAGGGCAACCCTACTACTATGGAAGACTCTCTAACATGGTGCTGTTCTTCACTTTTTAAAACTTCGTTGCACCATTTCAGAGAGAGGAAAAAGAAATTCAGATATGCAAGTGATTTTTTTAAGAATTAAAAATACTGCCTTGTGCTTTTATTTCTTTAACAACAGTATGGAATTTCCAGCCTTCCTGCTCTTCTGCTGGAGTCACGGAGAATTCTAGGAGCAGAAAGACACTTTCAGAATATTAATAAAAAACTGGAAAAGGCTCTGGATGAACAAAAAGAGAAGTTATCAGAGAAACATTAAATGTTTTTTGACAGACTTTTGACATTTGTTAGGAACAATTATTAGAATGGTAAGTGCTTCAAGCTTATTTAATCATTGTTGCTCTATTTTGCTTCAATGTTTAAAAGAAGTCAGTGACTTAATCACAGATTGTGTCTTTCTACTGTCAAATAGTCTGAGAATTTACTTAGAACATGACAGAAATTAATGAAATAGCAATTCCAGTAGTAAAGCTTTTCTGTGCTCTTTTAACAATGTCAGTTTTTTGTCTTGGGCTATTAATGTGCTCTTGCAAGCAATATATACTTTTTAAAAGAGAACACAGACTTTGGTTTGACTATTAATAGACAAATCTTTTTATTAAATTTGCACTTGAAATAAATAATTTCCTCCCATTTCTGGAAGTAAAGAAATATATTTTACCTGGCTTATCAGTAAAACTTCGACATACAAGTAACAAAATGGAAAACACGCAGCAGAGAGTGTTAATGGATGCATTGGTGATGAGTTTTTGGTCCAGTACTCTTCAGCCCCCTTGTAATCATCCGTGATCTCCTGCCTGTTGAAGATCATCTGGTTGTGAGGATACTTGTTTGGTAGCAGTTAGTTCTTTGTCTCACGGCTTTTGAACTACGTGGCAGTATCTCTCACAGCAGGCGTGCAACACACAGGCATCGTTGCTAGCAGTCTGTTTGCTAGTCAGCTCTGTGGTTAACTGCTGCCTTTGTTACATGGGTCCTGCTTCGTTAAAGCTTCCAAAAGAACTTCATCAGGAATTTCTTCCATGGCATAACTGAGACTATCATTTGCAGCTTCAGCTAATTCCACATCTTCAGTAACTTCTAGGAAATAGGCATCATCGTTTGCGTTGTCCCAGTCACTGTCTGACAACAGGAAGTCTTGAGACAAGCTTTCTTGTAGAGATACTGAGCTTTTTGACAAGTCTGATGCATTAGAATGTGGTTTTACTTTTTCTTCTGTGTTCCCCCTTTCATCCATCAGTGGATACTCTTCTTCCTTTTAGAGACAAGTATAGTACTTATTCCGTATGAAAATAGTCTTCATACCTTTAAACACTCTAAGCTGAAAGTTTGAAGCTCATGCTGCCACGTAAAACAGATGCAACAGAAAGCTGGCCAACATGGCACATTTTCCAGCACATCAATTTAAAGCCACATTAACCTGTGGAAGCCTATTTTAATAGGAATAGAAATTTCCTAGTTTTCTAGTAAACCGTCAGTATAGTCCATTGGATACAGCTATTTAACACAAGGTTAGAAGTAATTTTAGTGTCTGTTTAAAGATACTGTCAGGATCTGAAACTGCATTCAAATTACACTTTCTGTGAAATACCACTAGCAAGTATTGACAATTGGCTGAAATAGAGCTTAATGTGCCATCCTGGGGCATGAAGTTTAAAAGGTGTATATTTAAAAACTGCATACTCAGTGGAAAAACTATTATCTTCAGCACTTAAACTGACCTGATATTATATCTAGATTTAAATATTCTACCCACGTGGGTTAATATAACTGCTTTAATACACAAAAATGGAGTTAAGTGGACATCAAATGTGAGCGTCGCTGACTAAAACTTGACCCTAACTCAAGGAGCGCTTTTATTTTAGCCAGCCCAGCACATAGTCACACACGCACAGCACAGAGCTTAACTTTGGCAGTTTTTCCTTTCTGTACCTGCAGGGGTCTTGTGGTTTATGCACTGGGAACTGCTGTTCAGACCAAAATAGAGGAAAGTGTTTAGTCCTGGGTCAGTTGGGCTATTCCAGTAACTTTGCTTTATCTGTGCTGACAGTTTTTGTGCAGGATCTGCTGCTGAACTTAAAAATTAATATACGGACCTATGGCACCAGCAGAGCTGCTCTATACAGCTATCCTGTACCAGTGTAACTACTGTCCAGAGCTCAACAGACTATGCATTAGTGGGGATTTTCAGTGATTTCCAGAGACAGCTTTGCTCACAAGAACTTTAGCATATCGATAGGACAAAAAACATACCTCTTTAAAAAGAAAAGGCAGACATATCCTAGGTGGCAATGGAAAACCTAAATCAAACATAGGGCATTATTTGAAGTTAACATTCCAAAAAATATTATGTATAATTGCTTTGAAATCACAGAATACATACTTTGTGATTTGAAGTTGTTTTCTCTGCAGACTGGATCGTGGCACTTTTGATACCAGACTTCTTTCTTTAAATCTACCAGAATCCTATGAATGAAATAAATTCGTTTTTAGTAACAGTACATAAGTGCAGTGAATGCATACAGTAAGAAACTCTGACCCTAAATGAACAGGTTTTGTTTGTCTCCATTTATAGATACTGCTTTCTGACATTACATATGTTTTCTTGTGCAGCCTTCTACTTTTTTTTCAATAAACTTAAGTCTGCTTAAGTTAAATATATTTATTTTAAGACTAACATTCAAAGCGAAATTTAGTTAAGCTTGGAAGAAAATGTCAAAGTAAGATTAGTATATGGGACCTAACTGTAGGATTCTGACGCTACTGTTACTGAAGATTCCATTATAAAAGCCAGATAAAATCACTGTTTCCTGTCAACTGATTAAAACACTCAGCTTTTTCAGCTGTCATTTAGAAACACCAAGATTCAAGCAACTTCCTTGAGAAACACCATCTTCATCTGGTAATGGCTGTGTTTGGTTTGTTGGTTTTTTTTTTTTTAATACTCTTGTTTTTAGAGCTATGAGGATAATCAAGGGACTTGAACATCTCTCCTGTCAAGAAAGACTGAGAGAACTGGAGCTGTTTAGCCTTGAGAAGAAAAGGCTGAGAGGGGATCTTATTAATGTGTATAAATATCTCAAGAGTGGGTGTCAAGAGGAAGGAGACAATCTCTTCTCAGTGGTGCCCAGCAATAGAACAAGGAATGATGGGTGTAAGCTAGAACATAGGAAGTCCCACCTCAACATGAGAAGAAACTTCTTTACTGTGAGGGTGACAGAGCACTGGAACTGCCCAGAGAGGTTGTGGAGTCTCCTTCTCTGGAGACTTTCAAAACCCTCCTGGACACGTTCCTGTGTGGCTGCCCTAGGGGATCCTGCTCTGGCAGGGGGGTTGGACTAGATGATCTCTAGAGGTCCCTTCCAACCCCAAACATTCTAGGATTTTATGATACTTAAAAATACCTTTCTTATCTTTCAATTACTTCAAATGTTAGCTAGAATTATTAAGTTAAAATATTTCTACTAACGATATACTGCAATTCTAATGTGATCTAAAACCCCTGACCTTTCAACGTTTATTTTGCTAAAACTGTAAGAAGTCCCAAGTCCTTACAGAGTCAGTAGCAAAACTCATCTTGACTTTAGTGGTGGCAAGAACTACCTTTGTCATCTTAATAACCTAAGACTGTGATTTAAGATGCACTGTAAATGGATGTAAAAGTGGTCTGTTTTCTTTATCTTATTTCTGACTGTTCAGCTTTCTAGCTAAGAAGCATCAAAGCATAGTACCACTTAATATATTTAACATTGTCTGACTTCTATGTTAGCATATTGAGGAATGTATTTTAAATAGTTTGAAGATTACTTCATAGAAATATCAGAAATGCAGGTTCAGTTATTACAACATTAATTTAGGGGCAAGAAAAAGTTTTTTTGGGAAAAAAAAAAGTGTTGTATCCCCACAGAGCGAGAGCAGAAATTGTAGTAGATGCTGATTCTAGCCATAAGCGTTTTTCAGCATTTTAACAGAATAACAGTTGAGCAGTGAATGGTGAATAGTTAGAGAACATACATTATATTGTTACTTCTGTGAGCTCGTCCAATGTTTTCACACCAACGGTAACCAGAAATATCATAGACGAGTATTTGTTCCAGAGAGAAATAATTCCATCGCCGTATCCCTGGGGGCAAAATAATTAATTCTTTTAAAATACTGCTGCAGAACACTCGATTTGTAAATAGTAAAGTGGTCCTTACCTCCTTGTACCCCATCTTTATTAACTAAAGAACGAACAAAGCAATCAATTTCTGGGTATGGCGAAGCCTGATAACCTTCCAGAGAATCTGTTAAGACAAATACATAACGTTTATGGCTTTTGCCACTGTAGTATGTAATGGTAAAGCTGTTACACATCACACAGACCATAGACAAAAAACGGGCATGAATCGCACCAAATCCTTAAATAAAACCAAGGATAAATCCACTGTTAATTCCCTGTAGGTCTTTAAACTGCTGTCCCCCACCCCCCAAGGTATAGAGGTAGCTGGGACAAAGCACAACACCCGTAGAAGCTGGTGTGGAGGGTAAATGGCATTCATGTGCTGCAGAGCGTCCTTCAGCACAGCTGTACTCTGCCTCCTGCAGAATGCTGGCTGGAAAGAAGCCCTCCTAGGGGTTAGCAGGTCTGTAAGTCACAATACATCTAATTTAGGAATAGTTTGGGGTTTTTTTTTTTCTATAGTAGAAAAGGCTTGAGGTACCTCTACTGCTTCTGGTAGTTTTACTGTTTAGAAGAGCAGACATTTTTCTCTCATCCTCTGAAAAGCCAGATGACAGAATTTTTGTGTCAGCCCCTACTCTGAAGAAACAAGAGAAAACAAAGGAAAATGTGTGATTCTTACACCGTAACGTAGCATGGCACAACATACTGTAACACAGCATAGTATGGTGTAACATAACATAGGCCTGGACCACCAGCTGTAGGTGGCCCTGCTGGAGGCTTGGACCAGATGACCTCCAGAAGTCCCTGCCAGCCTCACTGTTCTGTGATTCTCTGTGTCACCTCTGGCTGTCCCTGTAGCACTTTTTATTCAGTCTGTTTCCTCTGACTTGCAGCAGCAGAGGGCAGGGTTTCCCCCTCCAGAACAGCAAAATCCTTCCTGGCAAAAATCCCAGGACCCAGGCATTTAAAGACAGCTGGGCCACGTTCTTACAGCAGGATTTGCTCTGGATGTAATATTTATGCATATATATACCCTTTGAAAAGCTTTACTCTTTTTTTCCTCTACAATGAACTACTTTCCCTTGCCTTATTACTAGCTGGAAGCTTTATGATCACAGAAGACTAAATTCAACACAGCAGCATTTCTCATCCATATTTATGATTCGGCTGATACTGATGATCTGAATACACCACACGATTTATGTTATGGGGCCACCGGCATCAGTTCAGGGTAATGAACCTTTCAGGATATAAAAACTGAAGTCGTAACAAATATATATTTTTAATAGAAATATTACACATAATATCATACAGATGGATGCACCATTTTAACTTTCTTCCTGCTGCAGTAATGATTAGGATCATCTTAAGATAACAGTCAGTGCAGGGCAAGAAAACTTCCTTGTTGTAGGTAACAGTATTCATTCTAAGGAGGTACCTGTACCAAACAGGAAATCTGGTATGCAAGTAAACATGTTCCTTTCAGAACTATACAGAATCCATCCAAACTTATTAATGGTTACATTTTGGTGTTTTGAGTGTGTATAGAGAAATGAGGCACAACTCAGACGCTGGACCACATATTCTGTGTTCTTTACACATTTGAACATAGGTAAAGAGCCCCCAGAATTTTTTTCTTTAAACCCAAGGAATTCTACTGGAAACTCCTAAATTAAACTGTAACAATCTGCAAGAAATAATTGCCCATGGATAGTAGTTATTCATAACTGCTGCAGGAGAAAAATCACCAAACTATGTACTTGAAAATATTTTCAAGTTCCACCATAATTAAATAATTACCTAATGTTGCAGATCAGAGAAGAAAGAAAATATGCTTCTTCCATGGAAACATTCTCTTCACAGTTAGGGAGGAATTGATTATCCTCTGCTATTTTCAGAATCACATTTTTTCCTGCTTTTGATGATTTATACATCCGGAAATTTCTATTCTTTGTATAAACTCCTACAGGAAAACAAGTATTTCTCAACATAACAATCCTGGCTAGGATTTAAGATAATCAGTACTTGTAAATGAAACTATTTTCCTTAGACCCAACAAAGGTCTAAGGAATGGATAACAACTATTATTGACTTCAGCTCACAACCTATAGAAGAACGCAGCAAAGCAAGATTATGCACACATGTACTTTTTTATGTTATAGAAGGATTAAGACAAACCCTCAACACCACCACTACCTAGGCATTTTCATCATTCTGACTTTATAATTGTTAAAAGTTTCCCTGCAGTATAAGAATCACACAGAATTGTTGAAGTTGGAAGGGACCTCTAGAGATCATCTAGTCGAAAGAAGGTGATGCTTTCAAATTAACTTTGTGAAATACAACTGAGCATAAAAAGCTAGACAATTATTTTGACCAGAAAGGACATCGTATTCATCAGACTTTTGTTTTCTGTGGACTAGACACCATTTGGCTGAAGCATGTATCAGGAAAATTTAATTCCCATCTCAAAAACAAAAAACAGAACAGTGGATAGGTACCTTAAACATTGCCTAAACTAAATTTATTGAGGTGGCTGCTTTATTTGTGGGTTGCATTTAATTTTCATGAAGATAAAAGAACTCATACAGGCAGAATGTCACATTTCCATCACTGCAGCCTCATGATGTTCCAGCTATTTTGGTTTTAGCTTTCCAGTTTTGAGGTAATGTGTAAACATACCAATTATGGTTAATTTTGGGGGGACTAACATGAAATTCTTAAAATGTGACACCGTAAACAGCTTCTTTTTCTTTAATTTCTGTTCATGTATAAACTTGATGGAATTTTGAACAGTAGGTACAACATAATACTTCTGAATCAGTAATGGAGAAGCCTACTTTAGGGACAACTTTGGGATTATGTTTCAACAAATCAGACCTACTGAAGAAGTCAGCAATAAAAGTGATCCTGAATTCCATGAAGAGAATTTGAAAATATGGGGGTTCTTCAAAGAAGTCAGAAAAAAAAACAAGATAAAGCCTTCAAGTACATCACATGCTGCTGTAAAAAAAGCATGCTAAGCTACTTTCATTTCATTGAGGGTAAAAAAGCAGAGAAACCAGATATAGAGGTGGAGAGGGGTGGAACTGTCACACATTAGTTTGACTAGTGGTGTTGCGCTCCTTGAGATTTTTAACACTTTGATACCATGAATAGGCTAAGCCCAGCTGGGCCACAAAATGCCCAACCCAAAATTTCTGTTATTCAGTCATTAAACCTAACAACTGCCATTCCAACAGGGGAAGGAGGCTCAATTCATACATGCAGAACAATACAGAAGGCCACACCTGCAAGAGTTGTTCCCTAATTAGGCAGCTTCTAATTCAACTGAAATGACAAAAGTGCAATACATGCTATCCTCTTAATCCAAATAGGAGCACTAAGTCCTTAGGAACAAAATTAACTGGGGAGTCTTCAAACTTCAGAACAAAATAATTAAATGTAGTAATACAGAAAGTTTCATGAACCAAGACTCTGAAGGCCAGCATTTATGATCCCTGTTTCAGGATGCACTCTATTTGGTTTCAATTCTGACCATTAGGACAACAGTAAGAACACTGTTGTTGTTCTTGTCCGTAACCAAAGACTAAGGAACGTATCATTTCTTAACTTTTGTTGCATCCCAAAGAGGTTTAAAAGCACTTCTTATATTTACCTAGATCCACAAAAAGTTGTTTGTTGCCTTCTTTATCATTTACTATTAAAAAAGAAAAATCCAAATTCTCTCCCTGGTATGATGTTTCCATATCCTTTGTTTTGTGTCCGCTGGCTGGCCAGCCTCTGGAAGCCCCTTCGACAGCTGTGAGGTTTGTAAGAGAACCAGCTAACCCAACTGTTTCTGCATGGAAAACATGTTCTGCTCCTTCTTCGGGAATCATGGCAGCAGCTTTACTCTCTATTAACCTTATGGCAGGCTGCAAGATGGTTCTCACAAAGTTACCTTAAAAACAAAAGAACCCAAAAGCAGATAATGTCATTTATGAGTCAAGAAAGAACTGAACAGTTTCTGAGCAAACGTTTTTCAAACCAGCCAAGGTGGAAGTGGTTGGAGTTTGTGGGTTTTTTTCTCTTCCCCTTCTGGATTTTAATAAAAATTCTTTTGACCAGCACAGTGTACAAAATAGTTCTGGTTAATAGCTAAGAAACAGAGAGTTGGCAAGAATTTTCACTTCTTTAAAAAAAACCCACAACAACAGACACCAAAATATTAGTTGTATCATACAGCCACAATCTTCTGCTTTGCAATTTTACTACTGAGAACAGAGAGAATTGAGAAGCAAGATGGCTTGGCAATCACCTCCTCGTTAGAAAGACACACAACATAATGAAACTGAAATGCGTAGGCTATCTCTGAATTTAGTCTGGGAATTTTCAAAGTCCTGGATAGAAATGCAAACTTGAAATAAATGTCTTTGGTATCTTCCAGAAGAATTTCTCCTACCCATCACAACACCTATATGATTAAAGCCTCTGACAGACAAGATCTCAAGCTGCTCCCATGCTTGGAGCACAAATGATCTCAATGATTAATACAACAAAGACTTTTGCACTGAAGTCTGTGTGAACCTGAAATTTCCACTAGAGTGTCAGAAACCTATTGAACACATTCAGTTTGGGTCTTCATACTAGCTTAGCATGAACTAGGCTGTTAATTGCAAGACTTAAATGTTTAAGGTAGGACCAGTTTGCTACTGACAGTGATATATTAAAAAAATAAAGGCATCAAGGTCCTTCATAAAATGTAGTTTGAACACTTAATATTTCATGTACCATTTAGTGAAACTCTTCAATACGTGAATAAAGCATTCTATAGGTTTGCTATTACACAACTTTTTTATCTAAATATAGGTAGTTTTTAATCATTTAGATGAATATTTTTGCAGTAGTTAATGACAGCATGTGATAACAGCAACAAGCTCAGATTTAGAGTTCTGAAGAGCTTGTGATTTCCCCTCTCACCACTGCTTTCCCCAGTTCCACTTTCAGAATCATTATAAAGGCTTACTAGCAGATTCAAGGTGTATTAACTGATGACCAGAGTCTACTCAAACAACAAATCACTTTTACAAAAGTATTTTGTAATGACTTTTCAAACTTCCAGTATAATAACTCAACTCCCACTGTACCTCCAGGCTCTGCTAGATGGTACCCAGAGACAGACAAACAAAAACCATGGCCAAATTACTTGCAGGGGTAAAGAAGAGAATAGAATAAATACAGATGTGGAAGAAAAACTATGGAACCGAGGGAATACTGGCAAGGAGGACTCTGCAGCTGTTGGATGAAACTTCAGTGAAGAACTTGAAAGAATATGAAATGCAGCTCCTCCTGTGCTACACATCAGCAGAATGACTTAGTGTATCGAGCATAAGTATCACCATCCTCATAACTCAGGGCAGGTCTGCTGAGGCACACGAGCCATTCATAGTCACAGACAGCGGTTTAACCCTGCATGTTCAAACGTGCACACAGAATTTCTTACGTTTATAATAGTTATGAAACAGATCTTCAGCTCAGGGAAAAAACGTACCTATTTCAGAACTGAAGTTTATTTCACTTATGATAAAAGTTTACTTCCTTTTTTTTTAAAGTCTGTAATTAAGTAATAATCACTCTGGTGTCTGAATAGCAAGGGTTCTGTCAGCAAAAGGTTATTTTGGGAGTTAGTTCTTTATCATTTGCACACACATCTCTTTTCTCTCTTCCCATTTCTTCTAACTGGTCAGATGTGGGAACCAAACCCTGCATTTCATACTTTTGATTCTTGACTGTATTTTGTATTTTATAGTTGGGACTTGTCAACTGTGTAGATCAATGTAAATTCATTTATCTCCAGTTTTTCTGTGGACCTACATGATCTCTGCTTTCTTACCTGAGCAATGAACTCAGTCCCTGTATTTGCAAATATTATATACTAAGTGTTTTTCATCATATTTAAGACCACACACTTTGTTTTGTGCATGACTCTTGACATAAACTGCTTGTGAAAGTATCATCCAAGATGTGATAGTTCATATTCTTGTTTATCCTATATAAATAGTACTAACTCATCCTAAACAATTATTAATTACAGAACACTACAGTAATGAACTTCAGAAAAAGAAACAACTCTTGAATGGGTCCGAAACATATATTAACCCTTTTGTTTAATGTTAGACAAAATCTTTCCTATCATCTCAAAGAATACACATATTCTCATATAGATTCTGAGAAATTGCTCTATGACGTTACCTGCATTTGTAGTTATTTGCTACAGCAGAGCATTTTGCACAAAGTACAAAGCTAATACACTTTAAGCCAGGTTTGTCAAGCAGGTTACTAAAATGCATTAATGAAAAGTCTAGAGTGTAATATTATTGGTAACATGCATGAATTTAATGCTGAAATTTACATATCTCAAATATAAATCAGTTTTTATGGTGACTTCAACCTCTTGTTGAAAAGGTAAAGGCAGAACATGAATACATGAATCTCTTAAAATATTTTAAGTCTGACTGTAAACATGTCAAATTCACATAACAGTGGAGACAGAACATTTAACCAATGGGCTAGAATAAACACTTCAAGCTTCTACTTGGAGAACTCACTAATGTAATTAGTTATCAACCTCACAGGCTACAGCTGCTGTCATACCAAATTATTTATCATCCATGTATTACTTAAGAGTTTTATAATGTCAAAGTTGTTAAAGACTATACTTTTGAATTAAAAATTGCAGTAATCCCATTTAAGTCTTTGGAGTTTGTAGCTGTTACCACGGTGTCACATAAGAAATAACTGCTCTGTGTCACGCTTGGGGCTGGCACACAATGTTATAAGCATTGGCTTCTAACTTTGACAATCTGCTGAGCCTGCCATGGGAGCTACTCCTCAAAAGCTTTAGGGACACGGATTCACTGCTCCTAAGAATGAGAAACAGGTTTTTTTAAAGTTAAATAAAGTTGGACACCCCCTCAGAAGTTCTGCATTTGTAGGTTGATAGAGATTTTAATTCCACCACTGGGCAAGCTGTTTTCTATCAGTTCCTGCTTCACTCAGACAAAACCCAGCTGAAACTCTACTGTGCCCTCATTGTTCCACGTGAATCTAGAAGCCTGCTTTACTGCACACCATGCAGAGTACATACACAAGAAATTACGAATTTCAACATTAGCTTTTCTTAATGCTCACCTCAGTGCTTCACAAACTGTATTTTAAAGTATGTTCAAAAGACTTCTGTGGAGAGGTATTGTTGTACTTATATGAAAAGTGGAGTCAAGAAAATGCTGAACTGGCAGTTCTTTTTGTTGCAGTTGTCATATCCCATGAAATTCCCACTTAAATCAACAATTAAAATTGCTTTCGACTTTCTCTTAGTCATGTTTTTGCACAAGTGGTTTGAAAGTGTCTTTGTCCTGCCTTTCTGACCCTTGCTGAGCACAAACCAGCTGTATTTAGAGCTAATAATCAAAGATTTAATTGTTAAGACTGACATTAACCTGAAAATTAAGGAGTTACACTGTAAAACAAGTTTCAAGCCAAAAACCAGTCTTGCCAGTCGTTTTGTTAGTAAAACATACAGGCACAAAAAAAGTTACATTTTGTAAACATGAATGTTAATTATAGAGAAAAGGAAGATGAGTTGAATAATAATGAGGCTTAATAAAATAGAAATAGGTAGCAATTTCTGCTGTGAATACGTATGTTTCCACATATAATCCTATTAAAACAAACATTCAGATGTGAGATGCCACTGTACAAAGTCAAAACCTCACCTTTTATTTTTAGGTGTAAGAGGAAAACACACTTACCAACATGAATATTATCCTTAAATACAGTCTTTTGGGGTAGAAATATTAAGTGTCGACTAAATTTTTCATCAGTACTGGAATCTAAATTCAAGACATCTTTGGCTGAACAATTTACATCATAAAATTCTTTTAATTTTTGGCTGACAAACTGAAAAGATAAACATTAATTAGGCTATTTTCTCTAGCATTTGCAATAGCAGCATCTATAAAAGCTAACACAAATGCAGATTCTACATGTTTTTTCAAGTTTTTTTTCTCATTTTGAGCATACAATTTAACTTCAAAACACAGCATATTTTAAACAAATTTGACACAGACTGTGTCTCCTGAAATAAACAAGTCACTGAATATGCTAACAGCAGTAAGCTGAGCAGATTTACAGCTTTTCAGGTCAGAGACTAATTTAGTTTGCACCCACAGTGACAGTGTCTGTGACGCAGGCTCACCTAGGACGGAAGACAGCAGCTACCTGACAGAAAGGGTTGGTACGCAATTCACTTGTAATGATTTAGCTAATTCACTGGTACGACCCAATGAACACCAACTAAGCAGAAAACATTAAGATGTCTGGCTCTAAAAACCTTCTATAAGCTAAACTTGTCATTACTCATGTAATGAACTCAGAACCTAAGGGTCTGGAAGCTTAGAATTTTAGCATCTTGAATCCCCCACCCAGCAAATCCAAAGTTCTCAGTCTGAGGAATCTCTAGATTTCAGAACTGATCCACAATGGAGCAAACCCCTCGAGAGGCTGTATCGAGGACGGCTTCTTTATGAAGGAATGACCTCAATCATCTTTTTATTTCCTTTCTAGCTAGGGACATGTGTCGGAAGGTATTATAAACAAATGGCTACCGACAAAGAGGTTTTATTGGACCAGAAGATATTCTAATAACCCACTTTATTTTCCACGCCTGTCAAATTGAATGTGCAGTGCAGCTAATTTTTAACCCAAATTTGCAATAAAATGGAAATTTGCACTATTTTATAAAACTGATAATTAGCAAAGATATTTAACTTTAGGTACCAAATTGATAAGTGCCATCATCTGATGTTCTCCACATCGTCACTTAACTGTAACGAAAGGCCATCTGAAGACAATCTCTGGAGACATTTATCTAAGCCTTGATATATGACTGCACCAGGTGGCAAAGGAAATGACCCGGGGAATATCTGAATGGAACTTTTATTGATGCTACTCTGAGGAACACCTAAACACTCCTTCAGTTTTACAGCTTTGTGGTGACAGAGCACATAAAACAACCTGCAAAATCTAACTTACTGTATGAGTAAACCTACAGTGAATCAAGCATTCCAACATTTTGTTGTTTCACTTAAAGAGAGAACCTTCGCTTTAATTAAAACATCACTTTTTACTTCATTAGAAGTAACCACTAGGCCTATAATTCTGTTTCATTTTGCTACAGAATAACCAAGATAAAAGTGGTACTTTGATTTTTGTATTCAACCAACAACAAATTTGTATTAATCTACAACATGACTTTGCTTCAGTTTACCTCAATTAACTTCGCAACCATACTCTGGCCATCTGCACCGGGATTTGCTGGTTTGTAGAATTCCAAATCAAAATAAAGTTTGCAAGCATCTTTTTCAGGAATTACTTCGTAGCAATGCATAAGACTTGTTTTATAACCTTTCCTATGGAAAAACAAAAATCACAACCTCTCATGATAAGCATTATATGGACTTAGCATTAGCAAGCAAGGATCCCACAAGCCCTAAATATTCTTTTATTTTTCAGTCAACTGCCCATATTAAAAAAGTAGTTACAAATTTTTCAAAGCATTATCGGGCTGCTAACTTCAGCATCTAATAACAACACAGATATTTGTCTGGCCTATAATTTGTTTGTAAAATATTCTCCTCCCCATCCCCCTAGGTCTTACAATAAATACTGTTGATAGAAATGCTGTTGAGAATTTAGAGAATGATGAAACTACAGTAGAACACTTACTATCACTCACGTCTTGAGCACTGAAAGTGAGATTACATAGACTTTTTTCCAAGCAAATTAAAAATCATTCACATTTTCAAATGGAGAAAAACAAACCAAGTTTACTTGATTCTTATGTTTCTTTTACTTCATAACCAAATGTTTTATTGTAAAACAAAAATTGGGATAAAGAGTTCAGCACAGAGTCAAATTGTCATTACTTGAAACTCCATCAAACCAATAAAAAACCGTAAATCGCTAACCAGACATTTATATTAATGCCCATTTAAACTGATATACAACTAGTCATAGAAATATGCTAGTGTCATGTGTTGGTTTGATCCCCTGAGAAAAGCCAAGAGTGAATGCATATCTACTCTTATTCCATTTAAATTCAGTAGACGGGGTCCTTAATCCACAAGAAATAATGGCCAACTGCACCTCAAAAGCAAGCTGAAACTCACTACAGAATAGATTTTCTTGTCCATATGAAGATTTTCCCCCAAGGCCAAGATGAAACCTCAAGACATCCACTGCACCTCTGTGCTCGTCAGCGCAGCAGTCGGCTGCTGGGGACAGCGATCCAGTAACAGCTACCGCTGGGTAACAGTATCTCCAGCACACTGCTGCCTTGTCATCATGTATAGGGTACCTCTTCAAATACTCACGTGTAATAAAACCAAAGCTCTTTATATGTTGTCACAAGGTAAAACCTCTGTCCACTTTGTGTGTTCTTTTCCAAGGCAAACACATGAACATCCTTTTAAAATGGAAACATTGAAGGGGTTTTTTTATTCAAAGAACCAGTTAAAGTCTTCAGAAGTTCTTACTTGTCATTTATTTGTTTGGTCAAAGGTTAGTAAGTACTAGAAAACTGTAAATATATCATTTATCCCTTCTCAACCCAAGTAGCATCTGTTTTTAGTTAAGAACATCATTCTGACTTCAGTTACATGAGGAAAATTTTGAAGCTTTTCTTTGCCATGCATTAATGTAAACTCTATTTTCTCTGTAAAGACTTTTTTTTCTGATCAGCAGCAAGTTTGTCTAACAGTAGAAGGAAAATGTCCTGAAAGGAACATTTGGATACGATGGCAGCATAAAAATAAACAAACAAAAAAATGCACTGCCAAGCTAGAGAAAGTGCATTTTGGAAAACAGACTGTCAAGATTACTCAAACACCAAAAACAGTGGGAAAGAAACCCCAGCAATCAATTTGAAAAGTATTAAATGCAGAGAACTGAAAACAGTAAATGAAAACATTTTGCATAACATTTATTTCATAAAATCACAGAATTGTAAGGGTTAGAAGGGACCTTAAAGATCATCTAGTTCCAATCCCCCTGCCACGGACAGGGACATCCCCCACTAGATCAGGCTGCCCAGAGCCCCATCCAGCCTGGCCTTAAAAACTTCCAGGGATGGGGCTTCCGCCCCCTCTCTGGGCAACCTGTGCCAGTGTCTCACCACCGTCATGGGGAAGAACTTCCTAACGTTCAATCTAAACTGATCCATCTCTGGCTTTAATCCATTCCCCCTAGTCCTATCACTATCCGACATCCTAAAAAGCCCCTCACCAGCTTTCTTGTAGGCCCCCTTAAGGTACTGGAAGGCCACAATAAGGTCTCCAGGCCACAATAAGGCTTGTCATTGTTTATCATCTGAACTTGCCACGCTGATGCCATTGGAGAGTTATATTTTTTTGTCTCTGCCTCTTGTTTTTCTCTTTCTCCCTGTTTTTTCTTTCTTCCTACTCAAATCTCACTACCTTCCCATTCTCTTGCCAACAATGTTACCAAAAAGCACTTTTACTGTTAGAGGTTAACACCACACATAAACAAAAAAGGAAAAAAATAAAATCTTGCAATCTGATACTTTACTGTCAACTAAGCTTTCAAATCAAGTTCAACCTTGAAAGTACTTAAAGAGTAGAGACATTTACCTCTTTGCAGGTTTTTACATAATTGAAAGCTTCAGCCTGACGACAAAATATTTTCCAAACAGAGGATGGCAGAAAGGGTTTGGACAGTTTTGGTCTATAAACTGTAGGAAGAGGGTTTCTTTCATAGTAAGATGCTCGTTCTTCCACTTTCTTCAGTCTTTCTTCCCATTTTCTGTTCATTTGTCCTAAAGCAATTATAAAAAGTCAAACACACATCAATTTCTGTTTGTGACTTATCCTGTACCATTCACTGCTTTTGACTCTGGTTTTGTTGAGCATACTTTATTTATTAACTGAGAGTAGTCAATATTCCAAATCAACACCCAACCTTGCTATGATACTCATCTCAACATTAAATCTTTCCATACGGATTTGGGACTTAGAAGATCCTCATATTGATACTATCAAAGATAAACACAACAAAATACACACAGTAAGGGGAGGCCTAAGAAGTTTCATTTTTGTTTATAGAATGATAACATAATGCTTCTTGAAAAGTATATAAACTACATTAATTAGCTGTACAACATTAGTAAGGAGTGAAAAAATACTTGTGTGAATAGGAGTGAAGAAATTATTTCTGCTTTATGGTTGAAGAGACAAATGAGATAATTAATTTGTATGGGTAGTACAGCAGTTGAGTTCCTTAGAAAAAATAAGATTTCAGTGACACTACCGCTGAGCTCTGTATCTCAAAGTAAACGAACTGAAATCCAAAATGAGGATTCCATTCTCCCCCATTGATCAGTAATACTTTCGCCTGCTTTAAAATCTCGTGTACTTTCCTGCAAACTTAAGACAACAATCTTATCTCTTTTCAGTAAATAGCATGTGATGCAGTAGTGCTTGCTGTCTTAAACTTCTAGTCCATAAAGTAATCCAAATGCTATATAACAATGTAGTATAGCACAAATGAACACTAACATACATACAATTATTATCCATTGTCCCTCTGAACACCTGCAAATCAGAGGAAGAGGGGCAAGCAGTAAAAACAGAAGGAGCTGCATCTTTTTGTTCTGCCCAGCACAACCACTTACCAACCCTCAGTTCTCAGAACAGCCTCCCAGTTGTCACACGAGATAAAACTGAAACTGACTGTACTCAGAAGTATTCAAACCTTTAAAAAGCAGAATCCACATAGTAAGTTTAAGTATTTAAACATTCTTGTGGGCCCTGAAGCCCAAATTTTACATGCTCTGAATTGCCCTCTAAGTTTTCCACAGTAAAGCTTCCTGGACACCTACACTTCTACCCATGGTACATCTAAGCCTGCCTGTGTTTTGGTATTTTAGTGCCTATGTCAGGTCTAAATAAGAGTGTGGGATTTTTGTTCTTACAGAGGTCAGACATATTATCTCTACAGACCTGGTCAGTCTTCTGACCTGTGAACTTCCTCTACTCCCTCCCTTTTCATGCAGTTAGTCTCTTCTTTGGGACTGAAAAATGGAATTGTAGACAGCAATCAGTGTTTCTGAGAAGTGTCAGCAGAACCCTTTCAGTTCCATTTTCTGCTGGATCTGTTGTTAATTAACTGGGTGCAAAAAACATTTCCTACCTTAGCACTTTCCCACACCATGACCATAAAAAGAAAGGAAGAGAATTCCCGTAAGTCTCTGCTTATGTTAAACTTTCTAATTAGATCAGGATGTATTTTTGCAGGAACATAGCTGGAAGGATATCTAAACCTTGGGGAGGGTTGATGGCCTCTACTTTAGCTGAGATCTAGCCCTGTTTTTGCAGTCCAAATACTCTTGGATTCTCAGCAGTCCAATATGTCACATCTTTTCAAGGTTATTTCAGTTCCCTTGTCAACTATAACTAACACAACACATCTGTTTAGTGCAACTACAGACCAGCTGTCTGAGTTTGCCAGAAGTAAGAGGAGTACTTATTTTTACTTTACTTCTCAGAAAGAAATTTTGCTACCAACACAGCTGGATGTCAATGTTTTTGACTCAGCAGGATGATCACATGAAGATCCTAGGAAAATGTATCCCCTGGGAGATGATCTAAAGAACTTGCTGTTTCATTTTTCCCTTTTGACAGAAGACTATTATTTTTTTTTAGTGATGAGGGCAGTGGACATCTTACATTTTTACATCTTAGATGGCTGAGTTTTGGGTTTGTTTGTATGTTTTTAGTTGGGTTTTTTTACTAAACAAATGAACTTGCCACTTCAGAAATGGCAATTTTCTCCCTTATGCTACAAAGGACGTGATTCTGCCCCCTCTACTCTGCTCTTCTAAGACCCCACCTGGAGTACTGTGTCCAGCTCTGGAGACCCCAACACAAGAAGGACATGGATCTGTTGGGAAGGGTCCAGAGGAGGGCCACAAAAATGATCAAAGGGCTGGAGCATCTCTCCTACGAGGACAGGCTGAGAGACTTGGGGCTGTTCAGCCTGGAGAAGGCTCCAGGGAGATCTTACAGCAGGCTTCCAGTACCTGATGGGGGCCTACAGGAAAGCTGGGGAGGGACATTTTATGAGGGCATGTAGCGATAGGACAAGAAGCAACGGTTTTAAACTAGAGCAGGGTAGATTTAGATTAGGCGCTAGAATGAAGTTCTTTACCATAAGGGCAGTGAGACACTGGCACAGGTTGCCCAGAGAAGCTGTGGATGCCCCCTCCCTGGCAGTGTTCAAGGCCAGGCTGGATGGGGCTTTGAGCAACCTGGGCTAGTGGGAGGTGTCCCTGCCCATGGCAGGGGGGTTGGAACTAGAGGAGCTTTAAGGTCCCTTCCAACCCAAACCATTCTATGTTTCTAAATGCATGATTTCATCATAAGTGTGCCTACATTTTAGTAAAACATCCCAAAACCAACCCACGCAAAAACATGCTCAAAATCCTAATAATTATGACAAAACAACACTATCCACACCTTCTGAGAAATGAAGCTTAGCCATGCAATCAATAACTGATTACATTTGCTTCCTGGCTGGTGGGTATCATGCACAATTCATAAATCCATGAGCATCTCCCAGCTACTGATTCGGTCTTAGAAGAACGTATTAACTAACTTCCTCCCGAGTGCAAAATTTCTTAACATTAATGAAAATTAGTTTAGTTATCCTCATGTTGAGCTCAACTGTGGCACACACGGACAAAACACTACTCATCTTCCCTTAGCAATAATGACGAGCATCAAATTCTCATCTTGCACTCTTGCAACCGAAGGTCAATGTACAAATAGGAAACCAACCGACCTGAAAGTTGATGATGAAGACGAAACTAGCCCTGGGCTTTGGGGAGCTGTTGTGTAAGGTTGAACAGCAGGGCAGTGGGCAGGTAGATTCAGGTTCCACTTGTCGATTGGCTGTAGGATTTTCCAGCTTTCACCGCTCAGAGGTAGGAGATAAGTAAGTGGAATAGGAAAGTCCTGCTCTGATACGGCCCAGTACCTCCACCCTTATCTCGCTCGCAGAAATCTGAAAGAGAGCTTCTTACTGGGTGATGCCCCTGCCCTCAAACTGCTCAAGGCAGCGATTACAAATCACCACGCTGTCACGAAGGTAAGGCTGTAGGTTTGTG